ATATATATATATATATATATATATATATATATATATATTATATATATATAAATATATAAAATATAATATATATATATATAAATATAATATGTGTATATGTTTTAAAGTAAAGACGTTGATCAACCATACCAAAAATAACGATGCATTTTTTTTGTACTCTCCATTCAACTCGCTTACTTCAGGTGTTCATCTTAACGAAATGAACAACTTGCAACAAACCTCACATCTATACAAAGACTCATTAGAGCTATACTTTAGGTAGAGGACGTTTTTATGGCGTTCACTGGCTTTGTTTATCGTTAGAGCATACCAGGTGCCGGTTCTTCTTTTCTTCTTTTCTTTTTTTCTTTACGTTGGCATTCCCTGTGGCTCATGGGTTAAAACGAGCTTTTCCATCACTCCCTCAAAAGGTCAAAGTTTATATCAAATGTATCAGAATAACGTATACGCACGTCATTTACTATAGGTTTGATTTATATCGGGCTTTCATCTTCTCAAGTGTTAGACTGTATCAAAACAAAGCATCTAATCATACATGTTGTCTCACGCGTATTCCTCTTTAACCAAGCTAGGTTACTGGCAGATTATAAAGAAAGGGCTTTGTTCACTACTTGTTGTTCACCGTAGATCTATTTTTTTTTTTGTCAAAGCTTTCACTGACCAACGGTTTACTGGCCATCTGCTTAATATCTCTTTAATTATATCCATCTAATTCTATTCATCAAATTCTATCCATCTAATACTATCTATCTGAAACTGTCCATCTGCTTACTGCCCATATGCGACGGCTCATCTGATACTATCCATCTGATACTATCCATTTGGTACCATCCGTCTGAGACTATCCGTCTGGTGCTGTCCGTTTGATACTGCCAAAGTGGTACTCCCCATCTCAAACTGCGCATTTGATACTGTCCATCTTAGGGGCCGACCTCATTTCTGTTTCGGGGCCGAAAGGTGCCATGTGATCATTTTCGGGCTAGTTTCGATTTTCGGCCGAAAAGGAAAAGTTGATTTTCGGTTGATTTTTCTATTTCAGCTGAAACTAGACTTTCGGTGGTCAAGGAGAAGTCTGACTGCAACTCTGTCTGTCGACCGGCAATCCGAAAAATAATACGTCTAAGTAGCGTTGTTATCATATATATCATAAAAGCAAAGGGCCCACAGGTGTCATTTGTTTAGATTCGTTTTAATATTATTCAAGTTTTGTGTTTATTAAACTCTTTTCATAAAAAAAAATATATATTAGAAGACAGTTTGCATATAAAAATATTTAAAATTTCTATGTCCAAATAAAAATATAAATACTAAGATGATGCCAAGTCATATTTGAAGTCTTTTAACATAAAATTTTTAGCCTAATTTATATATTAACTGATTTTTAAGTCACAGATAACTCTTTCGGTTTCGGCTGAAAGTCTCGCTATCACGTCGTTGGTTTCGGCTTCGGTCTCACCCGAAAGTCATATTTAACTTCCAGTTTGGTTTTCGTTTCCGGCCGAAACTCGAAACCTGAAAAATCACATTTGGTTTGTTTCTGGTCCATCTGATTCTGTCAATCAACTCACCGTTAATCGTTTTATCCATGAGAAAGACCATAGAGGCACTTGGAGATTGTTTATAGATAGAAAAAAGAAGGACCATATAGGTACACAGAAATGGTCCATAGCTGGTCGAATGCCAATCCATGGACACATAATAGAAGGGGCTGAAGCAATTTTTTTTCCCTTCATATTGAGGCCAAATTCTTGGAAAATGGCGATAAAAATCTTCGCACACCCCCGGGGGAGAACATCCCTAGTTACACCATGTAGAATGGATGAATCAGTGGGAGATGATCGATGGCTATTAATGGACCGAAGTTAGCTCAACGGACACTACCAGAACCAGAGAACCAGAGAGAGATTGTCCATAGTCAGACAAGAAGTTGTTGTCCGTGGTGAGATAAGAGGTTGTTCATAGCGAGTCTAGGGATTTACTATAGTGGACAAGAGAGTGACCGTAGTGAGATAAGAGATTGTTCATAGCGAGTCTAGAGATCGTCTATAGTGAGTCTAGGGATTTACTATAGTGGACAAGAGAGTGACCGAAGTGAGATAAGAGATCACCCATAGTGAGTCTAGCGATCAACTATAGTAAGACAAGAAATTGTTAATAGTGAGACAACGGAGTTTCCATAGTGGGACAAGAGATTTTCCATGGTGAGAAAAAAGATAGTGAGACAAGTGCTTGCTCATAGTTGACCGGACAGATGGTCCTCAGAGGACGACACTAACATGTGTTTGTGAGTGCATGTCCCCGATTGGGGGGGGGGGCAATGGGAGGATGCATTAGACTCATTAAAAACTCTTCATCTGTCATTTGCTTTTCTGTCCCCACCCAGTTCTCATGGCAAAGACCAGGTGTTTATAAATCACATCTTTGGGCCCGGGAGATGTGAGAATCGATTAGAAAAAATTGTATTGGGGGTTGGGGGGGGGGAGGTTAGTTGCGAATCAGTGTTTCAGAAAAGAATACCTGTCACCGCATTCAGTGACGTAGTAAGGATGGCGTGGAGGGTGGAGGGTGGTGTGGAGGGTGGAGGGTGGTGTGGAGGGAGGAGGGTGGCGTGGAGGGAGGAGGGTGTCGTGGAGGGGGGGGGGGGGGGGGGGGGGGGGGGGGGGGGGTGGAGGGGGGAGGGTGGGGTGGAGGGGGGAGGGTGGCGTGGAGGGAGGAGGGTGGCGTAGAGGGAGGAGGGTGGCGTGGTGGGAGGAGGATGGCGTGGAGGGAGGAGGGTGGTGTGGAGTGTGCGGTCATCCCCGGGTGGCACGTTTTTCGTTATTTGGAAGGTGACATTTTCGGAAAGCTGCTGAATATTTTCGGGGAAGGGGGTGGGGGTAAAATTCTTAGCCCGCCCCTGGCTCCACTAAGTCTAGTTATGCTATTCCACTGTACGCAATATTCTTTTTTTTTTTTTTCAAAATTAATTATTGACAACTTTTTAGTTTTTTTTAAAGTTATCAGTACATATATTATTGTTTTGGCCTTTACTCTGTCGCTTACATTAACGGCATCCAGTACTGAAAATAATGTTAGACGAACGATTTGGTAAGTATCCAATGCCTTAACATGTTTAAGTTTTGGCAAAAACAAAACTACACGGAGTGATTGCCACCTTCCAGGCCACCCTCCACCTTCCAGGCCACCCTCCACCTCCCGGGCCACTCTCCACCTCCCGGGCCACTCTCCACCTTCCAGTCCACCCTCCACCTTCCAGGCCACCCTCCACTTTCCAGGCCACCCTCCACCTTCCAGGCCAACCTCCACCTTCCCGGCCAACCTCCACCTTCCAGGCCACCCTCCACCTTCCCGGCCACCCTGCACCTTCCGGGCCACCCTCCACCTTCCCGGCCCCTGTCCACCTTCCAGGCCACCCTCCACCTTCCAGGCCGCCCTCCACCTTCCAGGCCACCCTCCACCTCCCGGGCCACCCTCCACCTTCCAGGCCACTCTCCACCGTGACCCCTTAAAATTGACTTTTTTTTGTTGGTTGTTTGTTGTTGTTGTTTTTTTGTTGTGTTTTTTTTTGTGGGGGGAGACTGGAATCCTCCCGGGTTAATCCTTTCAAAGTCTACCCAGAGGCGTAGCGATGGGGTGGCAGGGGGGGCAGATGTCCCTGGGCGCAAGCTAGTTAGGGGCGCCAAAATGTGATTTGATATTATATTATTGGTAAAAAATAATGGGTTTGAGAGTTGAAAAAAAGAAAAGGGGGCGCTTTAAAATGAATCTTGTCCCCGGACGCGAATCTTGTCCCCGGGCGCCAAACACCCTCGCTACGCCACTGAGTCTACCCACGCGAGTCCGGATGAAGATTCACCGATCTTACCGGCAGTGGCAAGATCAAAGAAGCCGGAAAAGTATTTTAGAATTCACTGAACGTCTGCCCAATGCTTTTTTCGTTTGTTTTTTTAATTACTAACATTGACTAGGTTGAGTTACTGTAACCTACGTTGATGCCTTTCCCTTTTTGCACTTGTGTTAACCGCATATGGTGAGTGTGTACCATGCAAACTCGATTCAATGTTAGAATTACGGAAGATCGGGCGAAAAAAAATCTCATTTATTGATTCAAGACTTGATTTTCTTACAAAGGGAGTTTCATACAAAAAAAATAAAATCAATTACCTGTTGCTTTTAAAATGCGCAGCGAGGGAAAAGGGACAAGGGGAGCAACTCTTGACAAAGACTTTTACGATCCTGGTGAGCATGAAATTCCTTTGTTTACCAAGTTTAGCCTGATCCCAAATGCACGCGAAATAGAAACCAATACAGAGGAGCAATCATTTGATAAATCATCAAAGTCAAACCAAAGTTGAACATTTGCTGATTCTAATTCCCCCCTCCCTCCCCCCACACACTCAAAGGGTCTCATTCTTTTTTATTACGGTCTGTAACAGTGGTTCTCGACCTTCCTAATGCCACAACCCTTTAACAAAGTTTCTCATGTTGTGGCGTACCACCAACCACACAATTTATTTCGTTTCTACTTCATACTACAGTAGAGTATATGTGTTTTCCTTGATGGTCTTGGGTGACCCAAGTGATAGGGTCATTCGACCCCCTCCCCCAAAGGGGTCGCGACCCACAGGTTGAGAGCCACTGGTCTATAAGGTCTGCATTAAACACATTATAATTTAATTATTGAACTATTTGAATCTTGTTGACATAATTTTATGACTATCTCAGTAAAACTGTAACAACAACGGATCGTCACTAAGCTGTATTATAAGAAAAAAATTAATACATTTCAAACCAAAAAGAATCCTTCATCAACATTTTAAAAAATAAATATTTTTCTTGTCTCGTTCAAAGATATGTGACAAAATTTCAACTGCAGTATGAAACTCTTCATGGGTTTATACACACTGTAATTAATAAAAAGTGATTGTTCTATTTTTTTTTATTTTTTTTTACATTTGGTCGTAACTTTTTAAGGCATTAAAAAGTAGGTATACTTCTAGGAGAATGAGAACCACTGATGCAGGTGTCACAACACGTGAGACCAGCGGCTGACGTGGGCCTCACATTGTTTGAAATGGTATATAACATAGAGACTTTTCCTGTTCTGATCACCGGGCACTTCTACCTTACTCTGCAGATACTTGAAGCTTCACCTCCAGAATGAAGACCCTTATTGCCTTTGTCTGCGTACTGGGTGAGTATCCCTTTGATAGCACCTATATTCAATTTATATATATATATCTTTTCTTATCTTATCAGAGGCCGGTAGCTCTCAACTCTTCAATAGCCTCTCTCTCTCTCTCTCTCTCTCTCTCTCTCTCTCTCTCTCTCTCTCTCTCTAGATAGTTGGATTTGAGACGATTCACCTATATTCTATTTATATATATATATCTTTTCTTTTCTTTTCTGAGGCCGGTAGCTCTCACCTCTCCAATAGCCTCTCTCTCTCTCTCTCTCTCTCTCTCTCTCTCTCTCTCTCTCTCTCTCTCTAGATAGTTGGATTTGAGACGATTCTGCTTTTCATTGCCGTGCACTTTAGTTGTATTTTGGTGCGTGAGTGAAATCGACAACCATTTCCTTTTTTGAGACATTCAGTTGGAGAAAGCGTTCATCACACCAATTGATAAAGCTTGTAGCTAAATTGCGGTATAAGCATCTCCCTCAGATATTAAGCCAAAGATGGTTGTATCATAAGCAATGATTTGTGTTTCTTCCGTGGAATTGTCAATTCAGTTTGGTGCGCACATCTAACATGCATCAGTTACCAAATACGTCACGTTGGGAAATGGTGTCTGTGGGCCGTCGAGCTGTGCGAGGTCTTAATGCGCCCCCCCCCCGGCACACCTTCACATGGGCCAGACGCCGGTTTTCTCCGCCACCAGACAGTGCAGCGTCACGCCGGGACACCCTCTCCCCCCTGGCTTGGGGGACGTCTGGTCGACCAAAAACGCTGCGTTTAAAGCGTTCGTGGTACACTCTCCCTAAAGGTCTGGGTGGGTCTGCTTCCACTCCGGCGGAAAAGTGTTGCGTTACCATCCCCACCACCCAGGGAGTCTTTGGGTCTGGACGGAAATCTGGGACGAAACGGTTGCCTAGGAGCGGCTTTCTCACGGCCGCGTAGCTAAAATCATCGGCATGGGTTTTAACCGCCACCCAAGCCTCATATTCATCAACGACAACAAGTAATCAAGTTACGATGTTACTACTCCCGTTGCGTTGGGAGTGATGCCATCGGCCCGGGGTCTTTTGCTTCACGAGAAAATGTCCACCCTACTAGTCCGCCACGCCACCAAGAGGCAAAGCCCATGTGTGCGCCACCAATATTCCATGGTGGCACGCCGTTTCCACGGAGCCAGTGTATCTGTTTCTCAAGCATGCGACTTAATTGACCGAGATTTATACTTCTGTGTCGTAACTTCCTCTAGGAGATTTGAGCTGATGTTGCAGTTTGCATTGAGATTGTAAACCCAGCAGTGACAGATCACATTGCGAGGGGAGCATCGTGACCACGCCCCTTTTTAGAGGGGCTGTTTCTGTCGGGCCACGTGTCTCAAATGGGAGATGATTGCATCCCCTGAAAGCTTTCGTTTAAATCGAGAAGCGTAGAGGAGATTCCAGAAATACGTTACAACTCATGTAAAAGGCACAGCCTCAAAGAAAACTCACGTGAACTGCTGGCTTCTGACAGGAAAATGTTACGATTTGAGAACTGTCGGTCTCTGATAGAGACTATTGAAGAGTTGAGAAATACCAGCCTCTGATAGAGTCTATTGAAGATTTCAGAACTGGCGGCCTCTAATAGAGACTATTGAAGAGTTGATAACTATCCTTCTCAGATATGGAATATTGAAGAGTTGAGAACTACAGTCCTCTGATAAGGACTAGTTTGAAGAGTTGAGAACTGCCGGCCTCTGATAAGATATGAAATGATAAGATATTTTTATTGGTCCAAATACATGAACGTTTTTTGTTGTCATTCAACATACATCTTTCGTTTGTTGTGCCTTAAACTTAGCCTGCAGCGAGACTTTGGTCGAAAAATTGTCCGGTATGAATTATTGTTGAGTTGCCGAGTGTGAGTTGTAGTTTTGAATAGCGTCTTGGCTTTTTGTTTGAAAGGAGTTCTCTTTTCTTTTTTCTCCAAGATCATGGACACGCCTCATGTCTGTAGCCGAATTGTCTTTGGATGGTCGTCATACACCAGAAAATAAGGATAATTTGGAATGACAATAAAAATTAATGAAAACGACTGAAAAAGATACATATTCTCTTAGAGACCTCAAAACGGAATTTATGTCACTTAAAGCAAAAGCCAAAACCATTCAATTCTGATTTCAAGCTTGATATTTTAACATTGGTACCCATGAACATAAAAATGTATATACTTAAACTAAAAAACAACAACAACAATCTGTAGTTCATTCATTAATTTTATATTTATATATATATACATATTTTTCTTTCTATTTTCCTTTGCTTTGCTGTTCTCCAAACCAGCCGCCGCGTGCGGCCAAGATCAAGAAGACCTCGATAAAAGAATTGTGAATGGTGAGCCAGTGACCACGAGCCCTTACACTTTCCTGGCCTCGCTTCAGATCTTTGATGCCAACTCTGGTGAATGGCACCACCACTGTGGTGCTGAGCTGATTGAGCCCGACAAGGTCAGATGACCCATCACATGTTTGCGCGTGTCTCCGTGCAAGTGTTTATTTTTGTTCCCGTGCCTTTGTGTGCGTTGTTCTAGAGATGTATTTATTGCGCACACCATTTTCACAGGTGCAAAACCTCAGCGACGGTTAGCGCTTAATTTATTGTAACTTTTAAACCCAGGACGCTAAGACATGTAATAAAATTTAAAATCATTTAAATTAATTAAATACATTTTAGCGATTAAATATAAAACGTGTTTTTTTTTTTTATTTTTAGTCGTTTTTTGTTTTTGTTAAACTGAGTTATTTTTTTCCCCTCGAATACAAGCTTACAAAAATTGCATGACATAAAACTCCTCTATCTACTCCTCTATCTACTCTATCTACTCCTCCATCTACAGTTGCTGACCGCCGCCCACTGCGTTGCTGGACGTGACTCCTGGCGGTGGCGTGTTGTGCTTGGTGTGACCAGCATCCACCCGAGCAAGCTTCAGAACGGCCAGATTGAACGTGTCAAAAGCTTCATCGTGCATCCAGACTACGACCCTTTGGATTTTTATAACAACGACATCGCAATCGTATACTTGGACAGACGAGTCAGATACAATAAAAAAATTAAGGTAATAAGCCAGGTCACGAGCAAAAAACCACGGTTTGCGCTATAATAACAAACAAAAAAACAACAACAAAAAACGGTTTGCGCTATGAAATATTATTGACAGTATCTTGTTTTTTTTTTCTTTGAAGTTTAAAAAGAAGTTAAACGATTTCACCACCCTTTCATCTTTCCATTCTTCCATCTTTCAATCCTTCCATATTTATATCATTCCTTCCCATTATTTTTTTCTTTGACGTCATGGCCGAATAATTATTTTTTTTAAAAAGTATACTTCATTCATTATTATCTAATAAGAACAGTGCTTCTAGGGTGTGAGTAATTTGAATTACAACACACACGTGAAATAAATATCAATTTTTTTTGGTTAAATTTGAAAAGCGTTTTGTTAATATTTATTTTAGGGTTGCTGTTCACCTGACAACATTGTTTTATTGTCTTTGTCCCTAACAAGCCAGCCAAGTTGGCCTTCAAGTACTCGAGTTATGTTGGCAGCAAGTGTGTCGTTACTGGATGGGGAGACACCGAAACAAAAAAAGCTTCCGGTACCTATGATCTTATGCACGCACACGTTACAAAGATATCGAATCAAGTTTGCCAGCATCTCTATCCCTATGCAAAGATACGACGGACGAACTTGTGTTTGTTTGAAGAAAACGGTAATTGAAATTTATTTATGAAAATTAATCTAACAGTACTTTGAACCAAGGCCGTGTCAAGGAAAAGCTGCAGTACTTTTTGCCACGGTTGGGTCGAAGAAAATGTGGAGTATTTAAACCTAGGTTGTGTCAAAGAAAAGCTGCAGTACTTTGAAATTAGGCCGTGTCAAGAAAAAGCTACAGTACTTTGAACCTAGGCTGTGTCAAGGAAAAGCTGTAGTACCTTGAACCTAGCCCGAGTCAAGGAAAAGCTGCAGTACTTTGAACCTAGGCCATGTCAAGGAAAAGCTGCAGTACTTTGAACCAAGGCCGTGTCAAGGAAAAGCTGCAGTACTTTGAACCTAGCCCGAGTCAAGGAAAAGCTGCAGTACTTTGAACCTAGGCCGTGTCAAGGAAAAGCTGCAGTACTTTGAACCTAGGCCGTGTCAAGGAAAAGCTGCAGTACTTTGAACCTAGGCCGTGTCAAGGAAAAGCTGCAGTACTTTGAACCTAGGCCGTGTCAAGGAAAAGCTGCAGTACTTTTAACGTAGGCCGTGTCAAGGAAAAGCTGCAGTACTTTTAACGTAGGCCGTGTCAAGGAAAAGCTGTAGTACTTTGAACCTAGGCAATGTCAAGGAAAAGCTGCTCATGGTGCAAAAACTAACATAGTTTCCGAGCCGTCTAAAATTGTACATATTTATATACATTTAATCTACATGAATAATCACGTTTTTGTACGCCCCATAATTTATATTCTTCATTGATGAAAAAAGTCATTAAGGACATAAAACCCAGCAACATACATGAAATAATAATATTAATAATAGTAACATAATAATAATATTTACAGTTTAAGAAAAGAATATATGGCTTTGTCTCGTTGTATAAATACTGAATGAATTAAATTAAAAAATGAATATAGCTAATGTTTCCCGGGTCTTCTACTATATTTATTGGCATTTATTGCCCACACTGCTACCATCCTGACTTGAATGTCGTCTAGTGCAATAGATGCGTCTCGTATACACTGCTACCATCCTGACTTGAATGTCGTCTAGTGCAATAGATGCGTCTCGTACACACTGCTACCATCCTGACTTGAGTGTCGTCTAGTGCAATAGATGCGTCTCGTACACACTGCTACCATCCTGACTTGAATGTCGTCTAGTGCAATAGATGCGTCTCGTACACACTGCTACCATCCTGACTTGAATGTCGTGTAGTGCAATAGATGCGTCTCGTATACACTGCTACCATCCTGACTTGAGTGTCGTTTAGTGCAATAGATGCGTCTCGTACACACTGCTACCATCCTGACTTGAATGTCGTGTAGTGCAATAGATGCGTCTCGTATGCACTGCTACCATCCTGACTTGAGTGTCGTCTAGTGCAATAGATGCGTCTCTTATACACTGCTACCATCCTGACTTGAGTGTCGTGTAGTGCAATAGATGCGTCTCGTATACACTGCTACCATCCTGACTTGAATGTCGTGTAGTGCAATAGATGCGTCTCGTATAAACTGCTACCATCCTGACTTGAGTGTCGTCTAGTGCAATAGATGCGTCTCGTACACACTGCTACCATCCTGACTTGAATGTCGTGTAGTGCAATAGATGCGTCTCGTACACACTGCTACCATCCTGACTTGAGTGTCGTCTAGTACAATAGATGCGTCTCGTACACACTGCTACCATCCTGACTTGAATGTCGTCTAGTACAATAGATGCGGCTCGTATGATTATGGTGCTATTATGTTTGTGTTTTTTTATTCCAGAGCCAGCGGGGTCCCGACCCGATGCTTGTCAAGGAGACAGTGGGGGACCAGTCATGTGTGGCGCCAACCTGCAAGACCTAGCTGGCATTACATCTTGGGGAGTGGACTGCGGGGGTGAGTTTCACACTGAGACTAGTCTAATGTTTCGAAGCACTATTTCTCACCGCCTCAGCTTGTTGTGTAGCTCAACTACAATCGAACAAAATAGTGAAACTTTTTTATTGCGCGTTTATCGTCACAAACTCTTGTCTATGTCCTTACACGCTTATTTAAATCCGTTATATTAACTCCCTTTTGTTCGTGTGTTCCTGGCTGGGGGGGGGGGGGCAAAAATCTTCGACCGGCTAATTGACTCATATCCCGTCAAACTATCGATGGAGCTGAAACTTGGCACATAGACTCGTTGTAGATGACAACACATTCTTTCCAATTTTCAGCCTCACCCCCCCCCCTCCCTCCAACTCCAACCCCTAAAAATCATGTTTCATGTCTTTCAAGGGGAAGATGAAGGAAATATGACACCGATTTCATGAAATAAAATTCTCGCTAACTGTGCTAAATGAGATTCTGTAAAAAAAAAAATAAAAAATTTGGAAGTGCGTTTGGTGCGTAGCATTGTTTGTTGTTGTTGTTCTGAAATAGTGGATGAAATAAATCTGCGGTGTAAAGCCGGGTGTGTCATTAGAATATCAATATAGTTTCGGGGCCTGAAAAAATTGTGCGGATGTGAGCCAATAAAAGGGGGGGGGGGTGGCGCACTAATTGGGATTCTTATAAAGTGATTTACGTGTCTGCATTTCTTGTCCCGATTTTCAGCCGCAACCGAACAGCTCGATGTTACCTATACCACAAACTTTCTTTTTAGGGGTTAATTGATTTCACAATATTTTCGATAACGCGAAAAATGAAATTCCCCAAAGGCGCACAAGGCAACATGCAAATTTGTGTTCAATATGCGTGCAAGATAAATTTGTATTCCTAAAAATTAATGGTGTGGCGAAACGGGGCCGCCCCAACGGTTGCTGGCGCCCTGTGCCAGCTCAACTTTGGAGCCCCTTATAAGTATAATCATTAAAGGAAAAAAACTAGTTATTCGGTAATGAGTTTATTACCTATGTTTTTTAAAAAACAAACAAACAATGAATTCTTTATAAAAGCGTTTCTCAACCTGTGGGTCGCCACCCCTTTGGGGGGGTCGAACGACACTTTCATTGGGGGGGGGGGGTCTCCTAAGACTATCTGAAAACACATATAAATCACAGTTAGATAATATCAACGAAAATATTTTTTTGGTTTGGGGTCGCCACAACATGAGGAAATGTGTTAAAGGGCCGCGGCATTAGAAAGGTTAAGAACCACTGCTTCATAACTAGTTTTTTCATCTTATGTCTAATTATTATACTTATCAGGGGCGCCAAAGTTAAGCCTTAGGTAAACTTTCACCCTGTGTGAAGCAGACTTTCGGCGCCCTTTGCGCTTGCGATTTTTAGCCCCGAAAATCTTTTTTGCTCTCCATATTCTGTCTGTCGAAATAATTGTACGAGGGACAAGGAAATAAGGTAATAAAAAATTAATTTCCACGCACTTTCGGTTGGTTCCAGAGCCTGTATCCACATTAAGAGTGAAACTTTCATTATATGAAAACTCATTGTATGAAAACTCATTGTACAAAAACTCATTGTACGAAAACTCATTGTACGAAAACTCATTGTATGAAAACTCATTGTACGAAAACTCATTGTACGAAAACTCATTGTACGAAAACTCATTGTACGAAAACTCATTGCATGAAAACTCATTGTATGAAAACTCATTGTATGAAAAGTTAGAATACCGTTTCTCGATCCCCCGGACACAAGGTTCACACTTCACTAGAATAAACTAAGGGAATTTGAATATTTACTGTGCGCCGCAGGCGCTCCTTTGTTCACGGCGCCCTGTGCGAGGGCACCGGTCGCACACCCCAAAGGCCGGCTCTGGGCGAAATGTGTATGAATAGGCTTCGGAAAAGGACGAGTACCGAGGCGAAGATGTGTGTTGTCTAGGATTAGGTCACCTTCAAATGACAGGGATTATCGGCGGGCGACACCTAGTCTAATACATGAAATCATATTTATTCAATTGTTTGTTTGATAGCCCATCACCCCGGTGTGTACACTCGAGTGTCCGAGTTCCTGGACTGGATCCACACCAACTAACACCCGGGACATGTGGGTACAGCTGGATCGACTTTGGCTAATCCGCAGAACTTGTGGCACAAGTGAGAGCAGGACGCAGCCCAGAGTTCACGCTACTGTAATCGTTCTAAAATTCGTGATGTATTTGGTCACGTTCGTTAAAAAAATAAAGGCCATATTGCAATAAAGATTTCTTTCTTTATTTGTTTAAATATTGTTTTTTAAAGTTTTTATTTTTTAAAAAACTTGACTTGCTTTAGGGTTCAACATCATGGGGAAATAATTAAAGGACTGTAAATTTGAACGTATATTCTTCTGACGAGTAACTTACCCTTTATGCAAATGATATTTTTAAACATCTAAACTCCCAAATAAAACATTTTACAATTCTCCTAATGGGGACTTAGCAGTTGCTTGTAACTTGGGGGAAACAACATGAATGCACAGTCAAATGTCATCGATGAGTAGAGGCGATTCATTTGATTTCAGCTCCTCAGAAAATAATTTTTTTCGGTACTTCAAAGTCCTGTCTTTAAAGTATTTCTTTGCAATAGTGTTACAGCAGCAGTTCACAACCTGTGGGTCGTGACTCTTTTGGGGGTCGAAAGACCCTTTCCCAAGGGTCGCCTAAGACCATTTGAAAAAACATATACTCTACAGTTATGAAGTAGCAATGAATATAATTTATGTGGCTTGGGGTACCACGACTTGAGGAACTGTATTAAGGGGTCGCGGCATTAGGAAGGTTGAGAGCCACTGTGTTACAGGTACGTCATTTATGATTATTCTTTTTTTTTTAAAACTCCACAATCAGACCATGCCTTTGTCAGAACTCATATATAAAATAATAATAATAATAATAAAAAGCTTTATATTTGGAATGAAATGTATGTTGAAAATTAAGTGAATCCTTCGTTTTCTAAATTTTTGATAACGAAAATAAACATTTGTTTGTGTATCTCAGATCTTTAGTCTAACTAAAAAAAAAAATAAAGCCAGATTTAAAGGAATTAACATTGGTTCAATCCAACTCGAGAAGGGCAACGGTCGGCGTAAACAAATATATTTTGGGGTAATGGCTAAAGAGTTCAACCGGCCCCGCCTCACACCTATGAAGACTGCCAGCGATGATGAGTCACTGGAAGAAAAAAAAATCAAAGACTACTGCAGAGAGTGACTTAAGGGTAATACGATCACAACCTTTTTGAAGTGCTGAATTATCTTTGAAAGTTTTATCTGTGTTTTCAAACATATCCTTAAACTGTATAATAAAAAAATGATAATTAAAATTCGATTAAAGTCTCATTATATTTTTAAAAAAAAAATTAATCTAAATGAAAAGGTTAGAAATTTATAATTAATTCGAATTTGATTGTTCATTTCTTCAGACCACTTTTTTTTTCTTTTCATTTTGTAGTAAAGTGTTTTTGGGCACTTCTTGTACAGTTGCTTATCCCGCATCTTGGCATGTCTGACATACATTTAATTTATTATGTTAGTTGGAGGGAAACAGTACGAGCATTAAACCTAATTTTTTAAAAAAGTATATTTTAAAATCTTTCACAGAAAATGAATTCTTTTTTTTTTTTTCATTTCCATTGCCAGATGACCTTTAAAAAATTCTTGATGGATGAAGTGAATAAGAAAAACCCTTCTCATATAGCTGAACTGAGCGATTTTAATTTAAAGGTATAAGACAAAATATATTACAATATGTTATTAGAATTAAACCTATGAAAACAAATTAAATTATGGATTAACTTTATGTCCAAATTTCCTTTGTATAATCTATGTTCAAAAGCTTACAAAAATAAACTGCTATCCCTGGTATAAAATCGATAGGTTAATCTTTTTTTTTTCAAAATTTTGTTGAAGACTCTGTTGACAAATACATATATTTATATTTATATATTATTTATTATTTTTAATTCTTAAATTTTATAATATATACTTAATCATTTAAAAAACAACTTTCAATTGATTAAAGGCCCTTAAAGTTCCTACTTGGTGGGCAGGATTAAAAAAAATCTAAAAGGCTGAATAATTTTTCAAACTTTTCATTTAGAAATTTGGGATTGTTCAAAGTAAATTTCAAATCATGACAGCCTCATCTTTAAAAAGCGTTCCTGCATGCCACACAGACCCATAGAGAGTTGCATAGCGCAAAAACAAAAACAAAAAAGAGACGATTCTTTTTTTTTTTCATCCAAAGAAATGGAATTGTTTAATTACATTATGATATATATTAATTTCATCGTGTGCAAAAATACGTGTTTTAACAAAGACAACATAGTGCAATTATAACAATTTAAAGAAAAGACATCTAAAGTATTTCTATGGGTTAGAAATCAGCCACCATCAATGGACCCCTTTCGTGATTATAACTATAATGACTTAATTGGTGATCATTTAGATTCGGTAATTGCAAGGCGGAGAAGAAATGGGGGGGGGGGGGAAGCACGATGATTAAATTAGTACAGACCGTGGAAAAAAAATAAGTTGCATAATTTTTGGTCTTAATTTTAATATAAAAAATTCGCCCTGATGGAGCTGATGGGTATTTCTGATGAAGAAGAGGGTGGGATGCTCAGTAGGCTTCTAATTGTTGCACAGTAGAATAAGTTAATAACTTGTTTGCCTACGCCGAAATTGAACAATTGTTTAACAGAAAAGTTTTTGGTTTACTTTTTTTTTAAATTCGATATTCGGCCGTGTTTATTCCATGTCATTTTTAATGTCTTTTTTTAAAAATCTCATTGTAATTTCTTTCATGAATGCTTGTTAGCACGTTGATCATGTCATGGAAATAAAAACAAACAACCTTGTGCTCACCAATGTATCGCCCACGAGCACACAAGCATTGCCCTGTATGGAAACAACATTGGGGTGATTCTTTTACTTTCTAGGCTTGGACAATTGTGTTGACTTCTACAATGGTTATTTGTGAGGTTTCAATGAAATAAAAAAAAAAAAAACACAAAAAAATCTATTCCAAACGCTAAGATCTATTTGGAGAAGATATATAACACTTGTTGAAACCAGATTTGTTCTGCAACATTTCTTCACAGTTCTCCACTGTTCTGTTCCCCTCTGTTCTGTTCTCCACTGTTTTGTTCTCCACTGTTCTGTTCTCCACTGTTTTGTTCTCCACTGTTATGTTATCCCCGGTTCTGTTCTCCAGTGTTCTCAGTTGTTCTCCAGTGTTCTCAGTTGTTCTCCACTGTTATGTTATCCCCGGTTCTGTTCTCCAGTGTTCTCAGTTGTTCTCCACTGTTCTGTTATCCCCGGTTCTGTTCTCCAGTGTTCTCAGTTGTTCTCCACTGTTATGTTATCCCCGGTTCTGTTCTCCAGTGTTCTCAGTTGTTCTCCACTGTTATGTTATCCCCGGTTCTGTTCTCCAGTGTTCTCAGTTGTTCTCCACTGTTATGTTATCCCCGGTTCTGTTCTCCAGTGTTCTCAGTTGTTCTCCACTGTTATGTTATCCCCGGTTCTGTTCTCCAGTGTTCTCAGTTGTTCTCCACTGTTATGTTATCCCCGGTTCTGTTCTCCAGTGTTCTCAGTTGTTCTCTACTGTTATGTTATCCCCGGTTCTGTTCTCCAGTGTTCTCAGTTGTTCTCCACTGTTCTCAGTTGTTCTCCACTGTTCTCAATTTATCTTCACCGTTATCTACTGCTCTGCTCTTCACTGTTCTCCACTTTTTCACTGTTCTCAACTGTTTGTTTGTATTAGAAATAAGCCCCCCCCCCTCTTTTTTTAAGGTTTATACTACCTAACCACCCCACCCCCACCCCCTTGTAACTACAGCTCTACAACAAAGAAAAACCTTGTAATATCGTGTAAATGACACAAGTGTGATACATTTTCATGCGACATAACAAAACCCACTGTGTACACACATAGCATGAACATGGAACGTGCCATTTAATGTACAACTACGCGGCAACGATACACTTTACTCAGCGTATCGCAAGATTGTTCGAATCGTCCATTCAGCCATTCACATCAAACTTTCAACTAGCCATAACCGGTGGTCAGCAAAAACAACAACCATCCAGAAGTTAATGTCCATCAGGTTCGCTCAACCCTTCTAGCTCCGTTTCGTCCGGTTCGCCGTTAATCTCACGAGGTTTCCTTCAAATCTCCTAGACTCCGCTTAAGTCAATTCATTTGCTTTCTCAGTTGTTCAATTTGTCTTTTCAGGGGGTGGGGGGCACTTTTTCTTTCTCTCGTTGCAACTGTTCTTGTTTTTCTTTTTCTCTTTATCCTTTTTTGGTTTATTTCCAGGTTTCCCCCCATTTTTGCCTCGGGGCTTCTTAGTTGTCGCCCCTGCCTTGTCGTCCTTGCACTTTTTGCCTGAAAATAATTTGATTTGAAAAGCAATTTAAAAAGCTGGATCGTCTAATCCGGAAGTTTTGGTAGATAGCGAGAACTTTACAGAGCAAATCAAGAGGAGCCCCTAAATGTTTGTTTTTAAACTCCTTTTCATTAACTTCGCATTTGTTCATGTATTTCTTTCGTTCTAGGTGTGCGGCAAAATCTTTGGAAGGCTAATTTACCCACTTCCCGTCAAACTATCGAGCTGAAACGTAGCGCATAAACTCGTTGCCTATGACAACTATTATATCAATTTTTACCCCCCCCCCCACCCCATAACCTCAATCCCCAAAAAATCAGTTTCGCCCGCTTTTCGCAGGGAAGAGGAAGGAAATACCATGACGCATTTGTTCATGTATTTCTTTCGTTCTAGGTGTGCGGCAAAATCTTTGGAAGGCTAATTTACCCACTTCCCGTCAAACTATCGAGCTGAAACGTAGCGCATAAACTCGCTGCCTATGACAACTATTATATCAATTTTTCCCCCCCCCCACCCCATAACCTCAATCCCCAAAAAATCAGTTTCGCCCGCTTTTCGCAGGGAAGAGGAATAAACTCGCTGCCTATGACAACTATTATATCAATTTTTCCCCCCCCCACCCCATAACCTCAATCCCCAAAAAATCAGTTTCGCCCGCTTTTCGCAGGGAAGAGGAAGGAAATACCATGACGCCGATTTCTCAAAAGGAAATTCCCGATAACTGCGCAAAACTTGATTCGTAAAAATATCGCAACCGCGTTCGGTGCGTCATACTTCTTTTGTTTTTCTGAAATAATATATATAAGAATGAAATATGTTCACATAACGCCAAAAGGTAGAACTTTTTAAGTACGTTCGGATTCCTAAAAACAATCATAGTTATTTTCTATTATTTTACGGAAATCGAATAAATTTAAATGCGCAAAAAATATTCCAAATCCGCTTTTATTTCAGTAAAAGTTTAAGTATTATTATTATCAATTTCAAATACATTTAAATTATCAGCTAAGGAACTATTTTAAGCCTTTTATATGTGTTTGAAAGTTATGAAAAAATAAAAAAAATAAAAAATCATGATCAAAGAATTACACCGCAATCACATTTATCGGAAAAACCCAAGCATTCGTTTTTTAGTGCGTCTTTTAGTGCGTTGTTAATATTGCGAGTTAAAATTAAAAACTAATTTCTTCTAAATAATCATGGAAATGACGTCATAGCGCTAAATAGCTTATTTATCATAGCTTACTTATACCTCATACAAAGAACGAACCATATGAAGTGCTAAAGATATTAGTTTGGGTATGGAAGGGACTACAAACCGGTGGAAGATTTTCTAAATTTATTTAAATCTGGGTGGGGGAGGGCTTGGTAACTTTGCCCCAGGCAGCACAAGACACGTCTCAAAATAAAGGAATGATTTTAATAAATAATTAACCTGCTTCGGTAAATACATGTCGGAGGTAGGAAATAGGATGTGTACATTTTTACGTGGATGACAATATATTTAAATCCTACGGTATTGCATTGGTGAAAAAAGAGATTTTGCATTCTCTTTTTACAAATATTGGTATGTTCATTTTGGGTACATACGTATCGGAGACAGGAAAAATGATGTGTATTACATGTGTTAAAAAAGGAATGTTGCATTCTATTTTTGAAAATATGTGTATGTTCATTTTTTCTCAAAGTAGCACAAGATAACTCTCAAAATAAAGGTATGAATTTGATAAATAATTAATTTTTTTGAGTTAATTCATGTCGCAGGTAGGAAATAGTCTGTGTACATTATTACGTGGATGAAAATATATTTAAATCCTATGGTATCACGTTTGTGAAAAGGAGATGTTACATTCTCTTTTTACAAATATTGGTATGTTCGTTTTGCCCAACGCAATACAAGATAGGTCCCAAAATAAAGGAATTAATTTGATAAATAATTAATCTTCTTGGGTACATACATATCGGAGATAGGAAAAAGGATGTGTACATTTTTACGTGGAATACAATATATTTAAATCCTATGGTATTTCATTTGTGAAAAAAGAGATGTTAAATTCTCTTTTGACAAATAAACATATGTTTACCAATTAAGAAAATAAATGGCGCTAACAATCTTGGGTACATTTATATAAGTATATCCATGAATATCAAAACCCGATTATTTTACCCACTTGAAAATTAAATTTTGACACATGAATATGGGATAATATTTCCTTTTTATTAAAAATAAAAATATTTTTGTTGTTACTTTGCAAAAAGTAAAAAGGTGTGTATTTTTATGAGATTAACAATTTAATTTTTTAAAAAAACGGTCAAATCTGATATAGGCGGGAAAAACAGTTGCGAGATTCTTCTTAGATAAAGAATTCTTTGTTTTACGATTTTCTGATAATTTTTAAAAAGGCAAAAATATGTGTAAATTTTTTATAAAGATATCAATATATATCGAATTCCTGTAATACAAATTATATTTATATCATATATAAAATTTTTGTTGTAAATTTAAGATTAGGTTTTAAAAAAATTTTGAGAGAAAAAGTTGTAATTTAAGGGTACGAAACGGGGTAAATCTAAAGTATTTCTTTAGCGTAGTAATTGTCACTAATTTTTTTTTTTAGTGACAAAAGGGATATAATTAGGGATAATTTAGACTGGGTAATTTAAGGTCATCTTTAGAGGGGGAAACGTAGTTGATGAGCGTGAAAGGGTGTAGGATACGCGTATTATATATAGCAGATAAACACTTCTCAAAACTTAATGATGTTAGAAACTTAAATATCATTGCATTTTAAAAGTTATGAATTGGGATGAGTTTTTGCACTAGCAGTTAGAAATTATCGCAAAGGACCTACCATTATTATCCCGATAACATCGGGTCATTTATTCTAGTTGTTGAAATAAATATGCGATTTAAAAGTGGGTGGGTCATTAAAACAAATAAAACAAAAGAATAAAAAGTGCAAATGAATAATTTTTTGTTGTTAATGATATCAGACTCACTTAATTAGTGTTAAAGACGCTCGTCTGTGTTGAAATTTCAAATAAATTTAAAAATAGAACAAAGTTAAAGTTATAAGTAGATTTAACAAAATTTACTTCTTTTTTTTTAAATATAGAAATGTAGTAATTGATTTTGGTTTTGACAATAAGCATTGTCAATTAAGTTTCAAGTCATAGGCTTATTCAGTGGTTTCTAAAATGTGCGTTTCGTCGCTCTGGAAAGCAGCTGGACTTTTCCCAGGACCGCCGCGAAATACTACCAAATTGTCCAATTTGTATTCCCAAATACTACCAAATTTTCCGATTTGTATTTCCAAATATTACCAAATTGTCAGATTTGTATTCCCAAATATTACCAAATTGTCAGATTTGTATTTCCAAATATTACCAAATTGTCAGATTTGTATTTACAAATATTACCCAATTGTCAGATTTGTATTTCCAAATATTACCAAATTTTCAGATTTGTATTTCCAAATAATACCAAATTGACAGATTTGTATTTCCAAATATTACCAAATTGTCAGATTTGTATTCCCAAATATTACCAAATTGTCAGATTTGTATTCCCAAATACTATCAAATTGTCAGATTTGTATTCCCAAATACTATCAAATTGTCAGATTTTTATTCCCAAATATTACCAAATTGTCAGATTTGTATTCCCAAATATTACCAAATTGTCAGATTTTTATTCCCAAATACTACCAAATTGTCAGATTTGTATTCCCATTTTTCCATTCAATGGCGTAGTACGGAACATCCCAAATACCTCGAGCAATGAAGTAGCTCTCTTAGTATCAAATGATTTAGATAAGCCCCTACAAGTGGTAACCAGAAGTTGCTTTGTTGCCACAAAAATACGAGTCGTATTTAGTTTTAGGTTACCTATCTTTACATTCAATGCGTGGTGTTGTTATATATATATATATATATATATATATATATATATATATATATATATATATATATATATATATATATATATATATATATATCGCTGTATACATTTTAGTAATTCACATAAGAGGCCTTGCGTAAATTTGATGCAAAAATCTTCATGAATAATGGATCCAATGTTGTCATATACATATACAAAAGGGCGAAGACTCCGTAAATAGAAAAAAAAAATTTGAATCACTTCAACGACTTTGCTTAATTAACTAGTAGAGACGCCGCCTTCGACGGATATTTTTACAATCAGGGGGCGTCAAGTTGGCAACATGAGAACCTATGAGATCAGTTTGGAAAAGTTGGCATCCAGGGCTATATCCTTTTTTTATAAGAGCAGACACATATCTGAATGGGCGTCCGGTAGAGGCGCCGTCAGAGCAAGCGCTGGGCCGCACCGTGGTCCGTCCATCTTCTAACTAATAATGTGTAAGTTGTGTGTCGGGGAATTCCAGACGGAACACAAACAGCACGCGCAATCTCGTTAAACCCTTTCACATCCCAAACACTTTCCGTGGACCACACAGATCTCCGGATACAGGCCATTCCCCCAGAGGCCCGTGATACGCGTCTTCCACCCTACACAATCTCAGGAATAAATCTATCAAGAAACATCTCACAACATCCTTCATGATGACCAATATCTCACCCACTTATGAATAACAGCATCGCGTTAATACAATGAGAATTTCTGTTAAAAACAACCTGTTACTTGCATGTTTTCATTGTTACGTTTTGAGCAAACTAAAACCATGCCTTAAAATGAAAAGCTAAAAAATGAGTCGTAACAGAGTCATTTGTTATGGGACTTTTTAAATGGAAGAAAGTGTCAAGTCTTTGACTCTGTTATTATTATATATTTAAAAAAAAAACAATAAAAAAAAAAAAAAAAACATCATCTCAGACTTACTGTATATGATCGATTTGTTGAAGACGCCAGGTGTCGAATTTAATACCCCTGTTAAGGAAAATTTGTTATGGGACTTTGTAAATGGAAGAAAGTGTCAAGTCTTTGACTCTGTTAATATTATATATTTAAAAAAAAAACAATAAAAAAAAAAAAAAAACATCATCTCAGACTTACTGTATATGATCGATTTGTTGAAGACGCCAGGTGTCGAATTTAATACCCCTGTTAAGGAAAAATAAATTCTTATTGTAATTAATACATCGATAGGATTTATAAGAAGCCAATTCTACTCATTTTTTATGTTTGCGGTTTCTCAACTTTTGTGAGACTTTGATTTGACTCATGGCCACCTTCTACGGTGAAGCGATGTGTATTTCATATTGTTTTAAGTTTAACTTTTTTAAAATGAACAATGAGTAAATTCAGAGGGTTCTCAAACAGTTGTATTAGAAGGCCGGCTCACTGTCCCTCAGATGCTGTTAGGACTTAAGTTTGAAACAAAATATAACCGGGACGAAATCCTATGCACACGTCACAAATTTTATTTTTTTTGGGGGGGGGGGGGGGGGGGGGGGGGCCTTTGGGGGGGGGGGGGGGGGGGCCATATGGGGGGAGTGAGAGAGAGCAAGAAAAGATAAAAATAGAATGAAACGTAGAGTTTATATTTGTATTTCAGTGCAAAGTATGGTCCCGCTTTTGGATATAAATGGTCAATGTCCGGTTTCATTTGTTTAAAAACTGCTATCCGGGTACCCTTACTGCGGCCAGGCAGCAAATGGTTTGAGAATCCTTCGTTGAAATATTGGTTGCTTAAACACACAGGTTTGTGTTATTATTTTGGCTTTAAAAAAAAATTTCTCTCACAAATATATAACGCAGACCAACTCTTAGCTGTGGATTCGCCCCTGCATAGTAATAACGACGCCCTTACAGCTGACAAAACTAAACACTGTAGATTTTCTAGCTTGACATTTCATCTAAATGACGGGACTGACAAAACCTACATACACACACGTACACACACACACACACACACACACACACACACACACACACACACACACACACACACACACACACACACATACACACACACACATATCATTGGCCACCTAGAGTCATAGCGTAGCAACATCCTATTCTAACTGACAGGACAGACCACTCACATTCATAACGTAGCAAGAATCCAGATCTGGTAGGGAAGTGCCCATGCTGGACCGTAAAGGTGACCACAAGGCCGTCACATTTTGCAAACGTTCGTGGCTTGTCCTCAGCTCGATTGATATTCGCTAATGGTGTATTATTTGGAAATAAAACGGTCACAGTTAAAAACGTGGAATAGATGAATGCGACATAAAACAATTTTTGAAAACGGAACAATATATTTGAAACGTTTCGACGAATGTTTTCATCAGCACACGAAAAGGTAAACATACATACTACATCTATGTGTTTAATAATTTATAGGGCAATGAAACGTTAAATGACCCATAATGGCGACGAGAGTATATACATGCTGACGTGGTCATGATAAAACAAAATAATAAGAGGTAGTTATTTTTTTTATTTTTTTTTAGGCTGACAACCATTACAAGGGGATTTTTTTTTAAAATAAACAAGCCCTTTAGATAATATGAATTTTTTTTAGATTTACATTAAAGCTAAAAGTAAAAAGCTTAAAAAAACAACAACAACAAAAACCCAACCAGCAAATTGGATGACACCATTGATGCCGTATAATTTTTTTTAAAAAAATGCCCTATACAGGTTTAAATCCTTTTAAGCTCAACATCTTCTCAACCCAGCTTCCTACCCCACCCCCAAAAATAATTTATTTGTTTATTAATTGATTTTATAAAGGATCCACCCAAACATTTTTGTTATTAGGGGTTGTTTCGTTTAATTTGTTTGATCTTTTTAAAAAAAAAGTATAAAGCAACTCACTAATACTGTTGCCCACTTGAATCTTTAAGGTATCTCTGGGAGCCAGGTCAAAGGTCACGATTTGAATCAGCAGATCTTGCCCCTTGCTCGGGGGTTCGAGCGTATGATAGAACGATGTCCGGTGGTTCTGGTGGGTGCCGGCCAATGGTCTCTTGTAGTTCCAAGGGAACCTGGGGTGACTTCTCAAAAGGCCGTACGGGTCTTTGGATGCCGTTTCTTTTTTAACAGGCAAGAGCTTACCGGGCTCGGGCGGCAGGGATTTTGGGCACGGGTGTCCGTGTCTGGGCAATATGTCACTTGTTGTTGTACTGTTGTTGTACCCTACGGACATGATAAAAAATTATCAGTGACTGTTATTGTTATAGATGAGAAACGGCGAATTGACTTCAAGAGACTTAGCACGATCACTTTACATAATATTTGATATTATATAGGAAAGATTAAAAATAAAACAACAACCCAAATCGACATTTTATCGAACAATCAAATGGGAGGGCGTGGTCAGTGGTTAAAACGATGGTAGGGCGTGGTCAGTGGTTCAAATAATAGAAATGGGAGGGCGTCGTCAGTGGTTAAAACGATGGGGGCGTGGTCAGTAGTTCAAACGATGGGAGGTTGTGGTCAGTGGTTAAAACGATGGGGGGCGTGGTCAGTAGTTCAAGCGATGGAGGGCGTGGTCAGTGGTTAAAACGATGGGGGGCGTGGTCAGTAGTTCAAGCGATGGGAGGGCGTGGTCAGTGGTTAAAACGATGGGGGGCGTGGTCAGTAGTTCAAACGATGGGAGGGCGTGGTCAGTGGTTAAAACGATGGGATTTGTTTTGGCAAAGTTTCAGTTTTCGCTCTGACGTCTTCCAGCACACTTGATCTATAACTAATACACGAATCATTACTTCTATAGGATGTGATGTTAGCGTAGATCTTCCAAAAGTTCTATTCGCTGTGGGATGTCAGGTTGGGAAAAATCTTGATTTAGATCTTCTCGTATTTTTTGTTCTTTATCACAATCGATATACGGTGAAACTTTTTTTTCCCCTTGGTTTTTATTTGTAAATTTACAATTTTCATTTTTGTTCCAGTCCAGTTTTTATAAACCTCATATTCAACATTAGTAAAACGTATTTTAAAGTCCTATAAAGCTGTTTGGTTAGAGCTTTCGTTATCACAAGCCACATCCAAAAAAAAAAAGAAAAAAAAAGGAACATGGATATTTAAACAATGCCTGCTTTCTTATTCTTCTATTAAAATTTTAAACTTCGAGTAAAGCAAAGACCGTCGAAAATATCTTAACATGTCTTCTGGCGTCTTGGAATATTTTGTAACTCTTTCGATTCACTTTCAATAGGATCGATACTTGGGTGTTCAGATGGAAATATTACTGGAAACTGCATGTTTACTGTGTTATGTCAAATGCTTGAATGCGTGGCCCATGCCCAAAAAGTAGACGGTGTTGCTAAAGACATTGTACACCACTGGCATTATTATTTACTAGGTGTATAGCTTGCCAACCATTGGCGACAGCGATGTGTGAACTTCACATCTACTAAAGCTACTTGACGAAACATGAACTCGGGTAACGCACATGTAAGCATCCCAAATTTTTGCTACATCCCTTGCCCCCATAATACGTCACTGCACACTTTTTATTTCACGCTCATTAACTATATTAACATACTGATTCCCAACCACTTTTAAACCGAATACTTATTACCACATATTTAAATTGAGACGATTTCATTTACGATAATAAAATATAATATTATGCAGTTGCGTTATTTAAAAAAAAAATAAAATCATTTAGCATAGATGTCGCGAATTATATTTTGGGTGCTATCCCATCGTTTGAACCACTGACCACCCCTCCCATCGTTTGAACCACTGACCACGCCCTCCCATCGTTTTAACCACTGACCATCCCCTCCCATCGTTTGAACCACTGACCATGCCCTCCCATCGTTTTAACCACTGACCACGCCCTCCCATCGTTTTAACCACTGACCACGCCCTCCCATCGCTTGAGCCACTGACCACCCCCTCCCACCACTGACCACGCCCTCCCATCGTTTTAACCACTGACCATCCCCTCCCATCGTTTGAACCACTGACCATGCCCTCCCATCGTTTTAACCACTGACCACGCCCTCCCATCGTTTTACCCACTGACCACGCCCTCCCATCGTTTGAGCCACTGACCACCCCCTCCCATCGTTTGAACCACTGACCACGCCCTCCCATCATTTGAGCCACTGACCATCCCCCTCCCATTGTTTGAACCACTGACCATCCCCTCAACATCGTTTGAACCACTGACCATCCGCCTCCCATCGTTTGAGCCACTGACCACCCCCTCCCATCATTTAGCATAAATGTCGCGAATTATAATTTGGGTGCTACCAGGATCCGGATGTGGAAGCAGTCACGCCAAAAGCAAATTGTAATAAGATATCTGTTTGTTTTTTTACTTACACTTAAATTTGACGTGGTAAGATGGGGTGACGTTTCCATGGTAAACATTTAGCACAAACGACTTGACGTTCAAGCTCGTTGCGAAGCACGTCTTATCTGTGATCTGGCATTCAGTGTGGGAACCATCGATTTTGACGTGACTACCTGTGTGAAATACAGAAAGGATTTTTTAGTCGTTTTTCAGGAGGAGTAAGAAAATGACATTAATCCTCCATGAAGCTATTTAACAAAGAAGTTTATAGATTCTTTTATTTGAGTACGACAATGAGATCTCGGGGAAAAAAATATAAATAAATTGTTGATTATTAGGTTTTTTTATTGTATTGTGCACTAAAATTATTTCAATTCTCTAGAACCACCTCCTCAAAATAATTAGTGATTAGTCACCAGATATGAATTCACAGTAGAATATTTTATATTGTAGTAAAATTTAGTGTTTTTTTGTTTGTTTTTTTATTTATTTATTTATTTTTTTTAAATTTTCGTTGGTTGCTTTTTTTTAAGTCAAGAGTGCTGCGGTCATTGGCGTAGCGAGTTACCTTGGAATCTGCAACATCCGTTCTGCGGGGCTGGTCGTGATTGTGGGGGGGGGGGGGGAGCCTACCAAGCACTGAACAAAAATAAAATAAACTGCAAGCCCCCCCCCCCAACCAACTCAAATGAACTTTAATTAAATTTCATGCTCGCTAGCACTGTCCTTAAATTTTTCCTGCCAATATCTGGTTTGACGGGATCGTACTCTCAATCTTATTATTTTTTTTTTTTTAAATTCTGCAAGCAGGTAAGTCCTCTTACTACAAGAGGCCCCAAAGGAAGGCAAAAGGGGGCCGGGGGCGGTCTGTCCCGGGCGGCACTTTTATATATCTGGAGAGTTGTTTCATTTTCGGCCCAACGCAAATTTTTTCTACCGGGGATTGGGTGCGAATAGGATTGGGGTGTTAAAATCATGCTCCACCCAGGGCGGCACTACTTAAGCTACACCACTGACCATTAGAAGAGTCCTACGAATTAAGTTTTGTTAAAGCCTTCTCTTAGCTTTCTATTGATAGCAGAAACTACTAAAAAAAAAAAATAAGAATCTACAAATATTGCTTTAGGATAAATTAATCCGAATCACGAGATGGCTTTACGCCAGGCCTGCACAACTCAAAATGTCAGGCAGGCCGCAATAGTTTATGAAAAAGACGACCAAAGAGCTCACAAAACACTACCAAAGAGCTCACAAAAAACTACCAAAGAGCTCACAAAACACTACCAAAGAGCTCACAAAACACTATAAAAGAGCTCACAAAACACGACCAAAGAGTTCACAAAACACTACCAAAGAGTTGACAAACACTACCAAAGAGTTGACAAACACTACCAAAGAGTTCACAAAACACTACCAAAGAGTTCACAAAACACGACCAAAGAGTTCACAAAACACGACCAAAGAGTTCACAAAACACTACCAAAGAGTTCACAAAACACTACCAAAGAGTTGACAAACATTACCAAAGAGCTCACAAAACACTACCAAAGAGTTCACAAAACACGACCAAAGAAATCACAAAACACTACCAAAAAGCTCACAAAACACTACCAAAGAGTTCACAAAACACGACCAAAGAGTTCACAAAACACTACCAAAGAGTTCACAAAACACTACCAAAGAGCTCACAAAACACTACCAAAGAGCTCACAAAACACTACCAAAGAGTTCACAAAACACTACCAAAGAGTTCACAAAACACTACCAAAGAGTTCACAAAACACTACCAAAGAGCTCACAAAACACTACCAAAGAGTTCACAAAACACTACCAAAGAGTTCACAAAACACTACCAAAGAGTTCACAAAACACTACCAAAGAGCTCACAAAACACTACCAAAGAGTTCACAAAACACTACCAAAGAGTTCACAAAACACTACCAAAGAGTTCACAAAACACTACCAAAGAGCTCACAAAACACTACCAAAGAGTTCACAAAACACTACCAAAGAGTTCACAAAACACTACCAAAGAGTTCACAAAACACTACCAAAGAGCTCACAAAACACTACCAAAGAGTTCACAAAACACTACCAAAGAGTTCACAAAACACTACCAAAGAGTTCACAAAACACTACCAAAGAGCTCACAAAACACTACCAAAGAGTTCACAAAACACTACCAAAGAGTTCACAAAACACTACCAAAGAGTTCACAAAACACTACCAAAGAGCTCACAAAACACTACCAAAGAGTTCACAAAACACTACCAAAGAGTTCACAAAACACTACCAAAGAGTTCACAAAACACTACCAAAGAGCTCACAAAACACTACCAAAGAGTTCACAAAACACGACCAAAGAGTTCACAAAACACTACCAAAAAGCTCACAAAACACTACCAAAGAGTTCACAAAACACGACCAAAGAGTTCACAAAACACTACCAAAGAGTTCACAAAACACTACCAAAGAGCTCACAAAACACTACCAAAGAGCTCACAAAACACGACCAAAGAGTTCACAAAACACGACCAAAGAGTTCACAAAACACTACCAAAGAGCTCACAAAACACTACCAAAGAGTTCACAAAACACTACCAAAGAGCTCACAAAACACTACCAAAGAGTTCACAAAACACTACCAAAGAGTTCACAAAACACTACCAAAGAGCTCACAAAACACTACCAAAGAGCTCACAAAACACGACCAAAGAGTTCACAAAACACTACCAAAGAGCTCACAAAACACTACCAAAGAGTTCACAAAACACTACCAAAGAGCTCACAAAACACTACCAAAGAGTTCACAAAACACTACCAAAGAGTTCACAAGAAACTGCCAAATAGCTGAGTCATCAAACATATTTTTTGTTGTTGTTCAGAAAACATCACTTCATGTTGCCCCACTTTACATAACATCAACTGGACGCACCTCCGTTGATATCTGCTTGTAGGACTTCAAGAAAAACTCCCTGTACATCAAACATGGATGGAGGGGGTCTTATGACGGCCCGGAACCTGTATTGCAATAGAAGAAAGACCCAAAAAACAAATAAAAACGCTGGGTTTTTCCACTTGCCTTTCTGATTGATGGGCGCATGCGTTCAAATGAAGTGATTTTCACATTTATAAATATCACTAGGTTGGTCAGTAGAGAAAGGCTGACCTAAGGAAATGTGATCAAATTCGTTTATTTTACTGTTTTTATAAATATTTTATCTACTCCAATCAGTGGCGTGGCTAGGTTTGGTGTCATCCGGTGCGGTTAACTCAAGGTGTCTCCCCCTTCCCCCGACTTCCACGATGGATTTCTTCTTGTCAAAATAAGTCTACAGTATAACAATAAGTGGAAGAACAATACATTAATTAAGGGTCAGGAGGTACATATATTTAAGAACTGTAACAACGATGCTGCTGGTTGCTGTCCATCGCTTGACATGTAAAAGTTATGGGTCGGGTGGTGTGAATAGACATTTTTTGTTGTTGTTTTGTTATTATATAGCTATGTTTTTAATTAAATAAATGTATGGGTCTTTGAAATGTCATCGATTACGTTTGCTAATATTGTTATGTACAGCACGGTGAGCGCAGTCGTAGTCTGGGGTACCACGCTATATAAGACCACTAATAATAATAATAATAATAATATATGTTTTCATTAAATTTACTTTATTCTCTGGTCTTCTAAGCTGCAAGCCTGTCAATCCCTGTTCTCCACCGTACCAATTGGATTGGTTACATGTGTGGACAATTTACTTGTGATTGGTTATACTTATATGAAATTCGTTTAGACCAGTGGTTCTCAACCTGTGGGTCACGACCCCTTTGGGGGGTCGAACCACCCTTTCACAGGTGTTACCTAAGACTATCGGAAAACACATATACTACACAGTTATGAAGTAGTCACGAAAATAATTTTGTGGTTGTGGACGCCACAACATGAGGAACTGTATATAAGGGTCAAGGCAGTAGGAAGGGTGAGAACCACTGGTTTAGACCGAGCAGTGTATGCTCTGTAAATAAGCAATTTTTCAATTTCGTGTTGCCCCCCTGAGATGGTGTCACCCGGTGCGGTTTGCACCATCCACACCCCACTAGCTACGCCACTGATTCCAATTATTTTATGATTGATACCACCCCACCCCCCCCCAACCCAATCTAAAATAAATAAATTATTTCTACATTTTTATTTCAATCTATGGTTTTAATGCTATTCTTAGAAAGTCTCCTCCTAAGCCCTTAGTGAAAAGACGGCAGTTTGGGGTAGTGATGACGATGTTATGAGTCACGTGAGATGCTAATTAAAACAACTCTATTAGTAAAATTATGCATGAACCATTCTTTAAATTTACATTGGATCAAATCTAAACACATTTTCGTAACATTAAAATCGATAAAGATTGTTGCTTGACCAAACCGCACTTTGAAGAAATTGTAGACTTAAAAAAAATATCTTTTTTTAAAAAGCCCTGACCTCCGTTCGCCAGGATCGCTCACAGAACTTTTCGAGACCACTAGCACGCCACTGTCAGCTTCGATAACTTGGTATGTGTTTTTCACGTCATGAATTGGTGTTTCTGGTGGACGACAGAAATACAAAAAATTATTTATTTTTATATAATCAATCTGTTTGTCGTACAAAAAAACTCTACACACGGCCATTAAGGTGGAGTCAACAAAAAAATATATATGTAAAAAATGTAAAAAACCAAATGGTCATTTTTGTCTTGTTTTTGTGTGAAAATAAAATGGAAATTTGGTTTTTACATTTTTTTACCGATATATTTTTTTTCTTCTAAATCTAAACATTAATTAATGTCTCCTAAATCAATAACAAATATCATTTTGAAAAATGTCCTAACTTGACGTCAGACAACGGTAGCTCAGTTCAAGGGACGACGGCTCTTGGCCGAAGCATGATGAGAAGGGGACGTCAGAGAGCACGATGACGCCAGGCTCGTAGGTCACATTGCAGCTTTTCTAAATCACATGAGGAGAAATATTGAATATTCAACAAAACAGAGGCTCCACTCAAACAAAATCAGCATATGATCTAGTGGGCATGTTTAAAATAGAATATGTCAAAGTTATGAATTAAAAAGAACTTGGCTTAAAACAATTATATGTGTGCTTCCAACAATCGGATGGAACGTTCTAATAACGAGGGTTGTTTTAAAAGGAATGACATTTAACGTGTGCATCGGTGATTTACTAAATTTTAAGTATGCCAAAATTAACTATAGAATATAGGACGGATTGCTGCACACCACGCGTGGCAGTCCAAGAGTGTCAATATGTGTATGCGTGTTTATGGTTAACTTCATGATGTCTTAGTTTTGGAAAACCCAACTTCCGGCCATAACATTAATAGGGTGCAGTTAAGACTTTGAACTACTCTACTTTGAACTTTCTATTTCTTTTTTTCTTTCTTCATTTGTCCTGTCTTCTGTGGAGGGCCCCGAGCCGAAACGATATTCTTTTATTGTCTTTATATTTAAAGCTTCCAAATCCCTAGTTCTACGTTTTCATTCAAACAGCTTAAACGCAGTCTTTTTTTTTTTTTTTTTTTTTTTTTGTGTGCAATATCCTAATCTCTACATTACACTCGTCTCTGCAATATACTAGCCTCTGCATGCATTTCACATTGATTTTTAATTATTTTCTTGTCAGTCTTTTCATTCTAAATTTCGAAACTGATTAGCAAAATATATCCTAGCCTATTAATTACTACCGGTCAACTGCATTAGCCATACCCTCCATAGACAGTTATAACTGCTGGTCAACTGCACTAGTCTTACCATCCATTGACAGTTATAACTGCTGGTCAACTGCACTAGTCTTACCTTCCATAGACAGTTATAACTGCTGGTCAACTGCACAAGTCTTACCTTCCCTTGACAGTATCTACTGCTTGCCAACAGCTCAACTGTAAGACCACAGCATTTTTTATCTGCTATTTTACAGGCTTTGACAGTCACATCGTAGATGACGTCGTCTCCACACTCCAGTTCGATAGTGCCCCCTTTCGTAATGTCTGCAAAGTGCCTGACGGTTTTTTCCAAGGTACACTCTGAATTAACTGGAAGTAACATGGCATTGTGTGGTCATTACTGAATTACCTGGGAGTAACGTGACATTGAGTGGTCATTGCTGATTCACCTGGAAGTTACATGACCTTTAGTGTTCAATACTGATAACATGGGATTGTACGGGACATTTAAATTATAAATTTAAAGTAATATTAGTTTCGTATTATTTTAAAAGTATATTGTAAAAAAATAAAAGCCTTACTTTCATTTTGATATATTTTAATAATACTGCATTTTTTTAACTATATATACACAGATGTGCTATAATATACGGCCTGTGTGTGTCAGTAAAGAACGAGAAAATAGGTTTATACGGTTTCACACATCATCTGTCCCTTATAAATTGTATTTTTCTTCCTTTTTTGCAGTGGTTCTCAAAGTGTGCGCCGCAGTGTCCTGTGCCGCAGCAGATGCCTTACACTATTAAGTTTAATATATGCGGGATTGCGTTCAAGCCATGTCAAGTAAATAAATAGTGGCAAGAGATATTTTAAGACTCGAAAATAAAAGGTCAAGACAATTAAGCGGTCCTTTCGCCAAGACGCCTACTCCAGAAGACGATACAATTCAACAATAAACAACAGACAATTTTACATAACAAACAAAACTCATGACATTTTATGATTCTGTGTCTATTTTCTATTATATAGATCACGATATCTAGAAGATCAGTTTGAACCAAGTAGCTCACAAAGAGACGAGTTTCACATGTGGTCTCTACAAGCTAAGGCAAAAACAATAGCCTAGGGCAGATCTCGGCAAACTCACCAGTCAAAAGAGATAAAAATCAGCAGATGGACGATTAAAAATTTTGAGAGCCACATTTATTTTAAAGAAGCTGTCAAAAGCCACGTTTTTTGGAGACATAACCCGATTTGTGGTCGACTGGCCGAGCTGCACTCATATCGCTAAAGACCCGCATTCGGCTCGCGGGCCGCTATTTGCCGACCTCTGGCCTAGGGCGTGCTTATCCATATTTAATGAAGGTTATGTCTTGAAACGGGTCCTTGGGGGCTTATTTTGCAAACGGATAAATACCCTGTAAACCCCCGTCACCCCTAGTGAAATGCACCCCTTCCTTACTGAAATGCAACCCCCCCCCCCCCCCCCCGGTCAAAACTCTGAAAGAAAAACTGAACTCAGGTACACCAAGAAACTGTACACCTAGATTTTGAAGTTATCACAACGTTCCTGGGAATGGGCCCACTGCCCTGAAAGACGCACTGCCTGGTGGGGAATCTAGGTTTAGTACTGCCTTTGGCGGATCGACATTTTTTTGCCACCCCCCCCCCCAAACAATAATAAAAACTCTGCAGTTGGCCGAAAATATCCCCCTTCTCGACATAAAGAGAAAAAAAAGGTCATTCCACCCCTTTCCTACAGGGAATGGGCCCACTGCCCTGAAAGACGGACTGGCTGGTGGGGGATTTAGGTTTAGTACTGCCTTTGGCGGATCGACATTTTTTTGCCACCCCCCCCCCCCAAACAATAATAAAAACTCTGCAGTTGGCCGAAAATATCCCCCTTCTCGACATAAAGAGAAAAAAAAGGTCATTCCACCCCTTTCCTACGCTCATGCCCACCCGAATATCTGGAACCTCAACCTCTTGGAACACATTGTAGAAACTCTGCTCTACACTTACCAACTCATCCATCATTCGTCCTTTTGTTTGTTTTGTATTTTGTAAACTCCCCCCCCCTTTTTTTTACACCCTTCGCCTTTTCTAATTGATCCATTTTGTTACAAACTTTCAGCGATTCATAACAACAACACCACCACAAATGTGAATGCTCAACACCTACCCTTCAATCGCCCAAGTTTGGATTTGTCCTCGTGGCTCTCCAGCCTGACGTTATTAAAGTCTTCCAGTGATCCATTGGAGGGTGATGTGGAGCACATGCTGACAACTGGATCAAAACAAAAAAAAATGTTCATTTGAACAACAACGTAACATCTTTCAGAGAGTCAATCAACTCAGCTGGTTAAAATGCTAAAAACACCCAAAATGCATTTTAAAAAAACTCGAGTGGCTCACCATTGTCAACCAGGACCACGATCATCAGGGAAATGAGTGCCCAGGCCGGAATGCCTGTTACCAGCATCATGGTGCTGATTCCTTTACGGGATCAAACTAACTGAGACGGTAAAAATATGTCAATAATCACATGAAGCAACAAGGTACAAATCATGTTGTGAGGATTAAAATTTCAAAACAAAAACATCCAATTCTTAAAGCCATTTGCTAAAAACTGTAATCTCCATTTATAAGAAACAATTTAATCCAATGGCATCATTAAACGTAAAAAATTTAATCCATTGCTATCAGAACAAATAAACAATTTCATCCAATGGTATCTGACAAGTAAACAATTTCATCCAATGGTATCTGACAAGTAAACAATTTAATCCATGGGTATCATTACAAGTACACAATTTGATCCATTGCTATCAATACAAATCTAAACAATTACATCCAACCGATATTATTACAGGTGAACAAGAAATCTATTTTTTCTATTAAAAAAGCTGGAAATAATTCTATTTGCACACATAAGTGGAAGCTACATTGAACTAGTTCTATTTTACGCACCTCGGTCGAAGGTACTTTGATTGAAAAAAATGCTATTTTACGCACCTAGGTGGAATCTAGAGAATTCTATTTTACGCACATAGGTGGAAGCTAGATTGAACTAATTCTATTTTCTGAACCTAGGTGAAAGCTACATTGAGCTAATCCTATTTTACGCAATTAGGTGGATGCTAGCTTGAATGTGATGGCACAGTTGATGGAAACAACAAATTCAGTTTAATTCTGAAACTTTGTTTATGCACAATTTCAAAAAAGGGATATTTACTTTTTTTTTTTTTTTGGTTTTTGGACTTTTTTCTTGAGTTTTTTTATTTTTTAAATTTAAAATTTTTTTTTTTACAATTTTAAAAAAGGGATTTTTTTTTTTTTTTTTTTTTTGGTTTTTGGACTTATTACTTGAGCTTCTTAATATTTTAAATTTAAAATACCAACTGATAAAATACCAAGTGAGAATGCACATCCAGTAGATCTATGCACCCAGGATAAACTCCTGCAAGTTGATGTAAGCCAAAGATGCCAAGTGGTGACGTCGATGCTGCACCGTGGCGTACTGACATTTGACTGCAAGCTGTGGCGCGGAAACATGGACACTTCAGAGCAGGGGGAATCGAGATAAGCAGAGCACTTAACAACACCAACGTGACCTTTAACCCTTTCTCTCCAGGCCATGTCGGCTGTTGAAAGCCTGCAAAGTCGAAACATCCTTGTTGTTTAAGCAGAGTGAGGCCTTGTTGCTGTTTTTGTTGTTTTTTTTTGTATGAGGGGGTGGGGAGGTGGGATGTAAGGAACGTGAGAAGGTGGGGGGAAAAAGAGAGAAAGAATTGCTGCGATATAAAATTGTCGATGGAACGCTTTAAAATGAATGGGATGTAGGGAAAAGAGAGTATAAGGGTCTGAAACCTGGAGTCAGAGCCGTCCCGTGGAAGGTGGGGGCAAAAAGAGAGAAAGAATTGCTGCGATATAAAATTGTCGATGGAACGCTTTAAAATGAATGGGATGTAGGGGAAAGAGAGTATAAGGGTCTGAAACCTGGAGTCAGAGCCGTCCCGTGGAGGCTCCCCTTACATTTCCATTTCCTGACCTTGTAATCAAAGTTGATATATAACATATGTTACACATCTTTTTGGCCCCATCCGTGGCTTACTAAAATCCGGAAGGGTCGCAAGGAGTTAAGCATCGTCTCTGTATGGGAATAACTGGGGGACAATTATGTTCATTACTTTGGATGCTTCAAATTACTTTATTATTTTTTTTTGTTGCAATATTACTTAAGATCATCATCATCATCGTCACCATGTCCCGTATTCCGTGGACCGTTGGGGCGCCACATATGACATGAAAACTATCCTCCTCCATTTCTCTTTGTTTTTTGCACTTAGCGCAGATATTCTAAGATATTCTACCATAAAAATCTGTATCCAATATTTCGATGTTTTGTTGATGCGCATGTTCGAAGTTCGCTTATAAAATTGAGTCTGAGTGCCAAAACATTGACACCTCAGTGCGCTATTGAGATGGTGGGCGTTGTCCAGGATTAAATCTGAATAAATATCAAAGTGTGGCGAGGGCTGGGTCAAAATGTATTTCCATCAGTGGTTTAAACTGCGCACAGGTCGGCTCCCGCAGTGCTGTTATAAATGTTAAGTGGTGGGCGCCTACAGTGCTTTTGTAATTGTTAAGTGGTTGGCGCCTACAGTGCTTTTTTTGTAATTGCCCACTACAGTACCTTTGTAATTGCCCACTACAGTACTTTTGTAATTGCCCACTACAGTACTTTTGTAATTGCCCACTACAGTACTTTTGTAATTGCCCACTACAGTACTTTTGTAATTGCCCACTGGTTGGGGCCTTCATTTTATTAAAACTGCCTGCTGGTCAAAGTTTTTGTTATACTATTGACCCCTAGGTCAAGGACAATATTTCTGTTTTTAAGGACAGTATAAATTTAATAAAATAAATATTTGTGTTTTTTTATTGCTTTTTTTAAATGCTTCATGTGTCCAACTCTGGAGATAAATTCTAACAACAAAAGAGGTTTATGAGTTTATTAAGATTCGCTTTGCCTTGTCAATAAATAAAACGAAAAGAACCCTAAACAATAAAGATTTTTTTATATAAATCCTTTATAAAATGCAATATCGAGGCACGGGTGGGGGTGGGGGGGTCTTAAAATTTTACAAACAGGCAAAGAAGTAACGCACTTTAAAGGGGTCCCAAATATTGCCCCCCCCCACCCCTTTCTTCCCCGTCCACACCTTTTTCAAGGCTCACAACTGCATTTTTTTGTCCACGCCAATAAACTCTTTTAATATGTTAATCACCCATCCGCTTTCACACTGCAGATTCATGTCACCGACCATTTTAGAAAAAAACATACAACATTGAAAGAATTTGTTTTAATCGGCAACTTGCGTATGTTCCAAGTTTCAGCTCGATAGGCTGACCAGGAGTGGTTCAGTTAGCCGTCCGAAGATTTTGCCCTAAACACACTAAGGCGAAGTTAATTTAAATGGTTTAAAAAAAAATTTAAATCAATTAATTGTTTTTTTTCCTTAAAGACTTAAAAACATTTCACTGAATAATGATTTTTTTTTTCCTTTTCGATCTCATGACATTCAGGGATAACGTTGCCCTATGAAATAATGATTATTTTTTTTTTCCTGCTTTCCGATGTCATTATATCCCGGAATAACGTAGCCCTATGAAATCCCCCAGTCTTTGAAATCTCGAAAATAAACACGCTGTTGAATGTGTTATTACTTTTTGAACAACTGCAAAGAGTTTCAACTCTTTACAACAGGTCATACAACACATGTGTTCAAACTTATGGCTCGAATATACTTGAATCAAACCGGATGACCTTGTTCTATTATTAACCTTGTTTCTGTGAACGTCCTAACTAAGTGGAATGGGGAAGCTCAGGGTGTTATGGGCCAGATTGATGGCCAGTCAGCAGACGTCGTTTTCACACTGGAGAAAGCGAAAAGTTTGAGTTGAGGACTTACGCGTCTTCTGTGACATTGTTTTATGAAATGCGGTAGCGAAGGATGTGGAGCGCAAATCACGGGGCTCAAAACGTCGCCATTTGCAATACATCTATAGTTTGTGTTGTGTATTTTCAATAAATATAGTTTATGTTGTGTCTTTTCAATAAATATAGTTTATGTTGTGTCTTTTCAATAAATATAGTTTATGTTGTGTCTTTTCAATAAATATAGTTTATGTTGTGTCTTTTCAATACATGTAGATTATGTTTTGTCGTTTCGATACATAGAATTTATGTGTTGTCGTTTCAATACTTATAGTTTATGTTGTGTCTGTGCGAAGAGCCTCTTCTCGTAACCTGTGTAAACATTAGTCATGTTGTTTTTTTTTGTTTTTTTTATAAAAAGAAGTGCACACTTGTCTACACAGAAGTGCCATCTTCCTGACACGAATCTCGGGCGCCAAATACAACTCTCGTTGACATCCAGCAAACAACTTATGGGGCGCATCCGGATGTTTTGACCAGTGATGTAAATGTTTCGGTTAAAAAAGAAAAAGTTTCTCTCCCCTTCCCCAACACAACATTCTTTTCAAATATTCTCCCCACCCCCTTTTTTGTTTCCCAGTTCCAGGGACCCCTCTTTTTGTCTTCCCAGTTCCAGGGACCCCTCTTTTTGTCCATTAGTGGTGGTTAAGTATATAAACATGGAATTCGCATAGAAAGATATATTTTTTATTCACTTTTGATAGTTACATAATGTTTAAAAGCTTTAAAAAGAATTGCACAAAGTGCAGGTTAGCCACTTGAACATTTATTTTCGGCTTTTCAATATGGAGTGACGGCTTGGTTGAAACAAATAGCCTCCAAACTAAAAACTTCCGTTCGAACAAATTACTTTCGAACGAATTTCGGATAACAATAAAATATCTCAGTTGAAAATCCATTATAGCAGGGGCGGCATTTGCCCCCCTCCCCCATGAATTTGCAGGTTTTATTTAAGTTGCTATTTACTGCGGCGACTCCAGTAATAAACAATAAGCCGACCAAGTTTTGGTTTTGCCCCCCCCCCCACCTGAAAAAACCTGATATATATGTCTACAAAATGTCATACAGTTATTGTCTACAATACAACTTCCCAAAATTTTTTTACGCTGGTGAATTTTGCTTGAAGCAGCATTTCTCAACCTGTGGGTCGCGACCCCTTTGGGGGTCGAATGGCCCTTTCATAGGGGTCGCATAAGACGATCGGAAAACACATATATACAATTATGAAGTGGCGACGAAATTAATTTCGCGATCGGGGGGTCGCCTTAAAATGAGGAATTGTACTAACGGGTCGCTGCAGTAAGGAAGGTTGAGAACCACTGGTTCAAAGCTTCAACAAGGTGCTGTGTTCGATTGTCTTACACAGCTCTTGAGGTTTTGAGAAAGGTTTTTTTCGTCACCATAAAAGAAATGCTGATGATAAGCACATTATAAACATTATCATGGGGGGTTGGTGACCCGCTATGAAACTCCGTACGTCACAACTAAATTATAAAGTTGGATTACATCGATCCCCAACAACGCGGGTTATCTGGATTCAAATCCTCCCCCACCCACCCCCACCCCGAAAAAAAAAACAACCCCAGTGCAAACGAACAAAAACAGAAAGAAGATGACAGTTACAATGTACAAGTAATCCATCTCTCAAGTAGCTATGATAAATGTTTCTTGGTACATCTCTTTTAAGAAATGCATTTTTCTCCCCTCCATCTCGGATTCACTGCCCCCATGTACCCCCCCCCCCCCCCCCCCCCCCCCCCCCCCCCCCCCCCCCCCCCCCCCCCAATGAAAAAAATCCCATTGAAGTAGAGACTAGAGACGTGCTAGTTGTTTGTTGAGCCTAAGCTTGGATATTATTTTGAAGGGGAATGTTAGAAAAATGAATAGAAAAGAGAATAGTCCAACAATTAAGACATTCTGGATCCTTATCTCGTCTCACTTACGTTGAGAGCATCACGTCTCACTTACGTTGTGAGTATCACAATATTATTGTAGTCAAGTGCGCGTAACTTTAGAAAAGTGGAAGGAAAAAAAGGGGGGGGGGACTTTTGAAACTGTCTCTTGGTGGGATAAATCTGTTCCTACAATAACCAGGTTTCCTGGGGTCGTAGCTAAGCTTAAAACCACGACTGTAAGGACACCCCCACCCCCCAGTCCCAGTCAGTTTCACTTTTGCTCATAGTAACTGTAGGCCTCGACCTACATTTCTCCGAAAAAGGAACAAGAAGATTTGTACGATTAACCGAACAGTTCAGTAAACAAAGAATTAACCTTTTTCTACGCGTTCAGTTTCTGAGGCGGGGGAGGGGGAAAAAAAAGGGGGGGGGGGTTGTCATTAACACTGCGTTACATAATAACAGCTAAACTTCCTTGTTTAGTTCAGCACACTGCACTGCAACATTTGAGGTTGGTAATATTGTTATTAAAAAGAATATATGTCTGGGGAATCAGGAAGTTGAAGAAATGCGAGAGACCTTAGAGAGTACGGCTTTGTTATTGTCAAGTGACACGTAAATAGGATTTGTAAGGCTGAT